GAGGTTATGTTGTTTTCTTATTATTTTGGATTGTCGTTGACCGTTGTTATATTTTCGTTTTTCAACGGTTTTTCCGAGGTTTCAAGAAAAATATTTAAAAGAAACGTGCAATAAATTCAAGGTAAGTCATTGTTTCTCATTATTTGATGTTAAGGACTCAAATAGAGCATGCATTTCAGTTCAGGGTACCCACCTAAGCCCTACCTACTGTTCACTGTTTGGCTATGGATTTTCGTAAATGTTTTGTGCCTTCTTGTAAAAACAATAATCTAAATTCGAAGAAAATCCCAAACCCCAAAAATGAACAAATAAGAAGAAGTTGGTGTTTAGCTGTGGAAAGAGTTAATATATTGTCTAGTATTTCTGGTGGAATTTATTGCTGCGAAGATCATTTCAATGTAAGTAAACTTAGTTGCAAAATTTCATTTTATAAACACCTATTTTCTGTCATTATTACAAAAATATGAACATTATATTATGTTTATAGATGGAACAAGATTGTGATAACTGGATGCAGTTTAGGATGACAAACTGCAAATTACGTATGAAGAAAAATGTGGTTTCACATATCAATTTAGGCAGAATCGGAGTTTGTTAAGAAGCTGAATAAAAGAATTGCTCTCGGAATTGCCAGCTTACGAATCCATATTGAAAGAGTGATACAAAGATTGTGAGAATTTGCAATACTCGAAGGACATTCCTGCATTGACCATCAGCTTGTAGCAAAAATTGATTATTTAATAATTATTGCTTGTGGAATAGTGAATTTGCAGGGACCATTAATCAAATAAACTTTATGTCAAAGCTAGAAAAAAATGCTTTTTTGAATATATTGTATTAAAAAAAAACCTATTGTTTTTTTACAGCCAAAATAGTACATTATACACCTAGTGACTAAAGTGGTACTTTAAATCCCAAAGGGAGGGCTATAATTTGTTGAGGGATTAAAAAACACTCTAGCCCTGAGGTGTATACACTTTAGGGATTAAAAATTAAAAGGGTACTTTTGATCCCTCTAAAGTACATAAAATAGTGTATACATCTCAGGACTAAAGTGTTTTTTATACCCTCGACTTTGGAGTACCCTTTTATTCCCTGTTCCATTTACTCCATGGGAAATAAAGTAAAAAGCTAATCCCTTGGGAAATAAAGTGAAATTTAACCTTGGGGATTGAAAGGGTACTTTTAATGCATAAATACCTAATGTAAAGAAGAAAACTACCAGACTCCCAAATCAATCATATATTTTTATTCAAAATACATGAAAATACATTTTTCTTCCAAAATTCTTCAGCTGATTCAATATTTACTTTGAGAAACCTAATGTTTAAGTATAATTCAAACATTGTCATATTCATTATCCTCTCCAAATTTGAGACTTGCCACACAAAACAGTCCTTTTTGTCTGTTACACAATAACAATTGTAACTGACGTTGGCACCTGTATTTCGTCATTATATTTCCATTTTTCTTAATGTAGTTTTTCACAGTCTCCTCCTTGCTAGGACATTCAACTCCAATCACAAATTCTTTGCTTATTCCATCTGGTGATGCTCCTAACAGAGGATATTTTGCTGTCTCTTTTCAACTGCACACACCCACTAGCATCGTCACCCACAATAACTGTCTCTCGCTGACCTAAAAATATATGAAACTATAAACCTGTTACCCTGCTACTAGAAAGGTAATATAATAATGAGCCAAAGCTAAACCAATACAATAACTATGCCAATATTTCACAACCCACCTTCCTGTTTTGACTCCTCTTATTTCTGCACTTAAATAATCCGTATTTTTGGCAAAAAACTCTTGCAGCATCACATAATTTAATTCAGGTAAATTTTCGCTGGAGGCTTTAATAAATCCACTATCCATCTTCTCACATAAACCAAACAAATAAACGAGTGAAATAAGTATTTATTTTTTCTTTTATAAATCTATCAGTCTAGGCAGGCGAATCAAAATAAATAACAAAATAACTGACATAACCTCTAAAATAAGACGGACATGGGCCAGTCGCAGAGTAGCCAACTAGACAACTAGCAAGTTCTGTCAGTGACAGCAAACTTTAATTTAGAAATACAGGGCGCAAGCGCCCCTTGTGACGTCAAACCATTTTAAAAAATAACTAGTGTTGCAGGTCGCAAGAAATCTTGTCTTGCTCGGCTATTTCTTGTCTTATCTTGCTAAGCAAGACAAGAAATTTCCAATTTCTTGTTCTTGTTAATTTCTTGCAAGCCTATTTCTTGTTCTTGCTGCAAGACTCTTGCTATTTCTTGTTCTTGCTTTATAAAAAGTTGCTACATAGATTTCAGATTGGCTATAGCTCCTTTTCCAAGAGCAAGTTGAGTTTCAAAATGAAATTAAACTTCTTTGAAAAAACTCGAAAATTCAGGGCCAGTTTCACAAACAGTGGTAACCCAGCGGTAACCACAAGACACTGGTAACCTACAATATATCTGTTTCATAATGTGTGGTTTAGCCAAAACCATTGGTCAAGCTTCAGATAATTCAATATGGTCAACCCACAACAATGAGTTTGATAACCAGTGAAGGTTACCACCAATAATTGTGGAACTGGGCCTAAGATTACATCAGACAAGTCGACGAAATTGAATGTTTGATTTCTGCAAGCTTGTTCAAGTTCAAGTCATTATATTGGAACTTCAAGAAATATTTTTTGAGCGGAAACTTATTTAGTCGCGCTCAGCCAGCACACTTTTTTGTGGGTATTGAATGAATCTGAGTTGTCACGCTCGGCTATGTAACGCGCATTCGGGTACAGTCGGGTCGAGTAGACTTCAGCCAAGCGAGAGAGAGAAACACCCATTACATTTTATTTCAAGTATTTTTCTACAATAATCTTTCTTTTTTTTTCTTTGATCGTAATTTAATATTATATTACATGTGCTCCATATGTAAATGTGATAAAAATTGTCGTGTTTCATACAGGCATAATCTAAAGAATACCTAATATTGGATACCTACCTATTTCAATAACGTAACTGTATATGTGCTTCTTCCTAGTAACCAGAAGCTGCGTTACACCTTAAAACCCCACTAATAAGTTTGCAGAGTTCTATAATAGACTATGTTGACGTAAACGACATTTAAATGATTGAGTAAATTTTTCTAGAATTTTCATTAATAAAATCTTAATCTTTTCTGTCTAAAATAATTATGATCTAAAAAATTTATGATGTGCCTAATATTGGATAGCTAATTGATAGCTACAGGTTCCCAATATTGGATATCCGATATTAGGCAATGCTTTGAGGTCAGCTGCAATAATATATTGTTTACAGAAATGGCTACTGAAAGAAGACAGGAATGGGATGAAGCAAATATGACTAGTGCTATACATTTTTGAAATTATCAATACCTAGCCTTTGAATAAAAAAATGGTTTCCTAATATTGGATACCCTATCCAATATTGGGCTACTATTTTCAAAAATGACAAAATCAGCAATTTTTTAAAAATATTCAATTACTTCCCAAAATATTTTTTTATTCTTTTGCCGACCAGTTTAACTGAGAATATATAGTTATGCTATGACTCCATTGAATTAGCACAAGTATTGATGTTTTTTTGATATAATTTTACAGTTTAAAAAAACATCCAATATTAGGCGACTCTCCTCCTAGCAAATAGATTTAAATCAAAACTATTCATCATATCTTTGATACAAAGATCAATCTGGGCATTCAATATAGAGCATAAAAAATACCTACCTGTATTTCATATTCTCAATCACGCCTATTCACTTAATTGAAGTTTTCATTTCTGTCATGGTCTTCAAGTCTTGAAGCACACACCATTTTTCACAAATTTTGTTGACACAGCATGTTTTTTGTTTGTTGTTTTTTATTAGAATAAGAATTTTTCAAAATTTTGGTGACTGCTTCTTCAATGAAACGTCCAATTTATGTGTACCAAACTATAAAAAAAGTTTCTTTTTAATTAATATTTTTTTATTTACAATAAATAATGTTATGCAAGTATAAGTAATTGTGCACTTTTTAGCTAATATTTATTAACTAATTATTATTATTTAAAATAAATTATGCAATTTTCTTGCACAAGAAATCTTGTTCTTGCTTATCAGTTTCTTGTCTTGTATATTTCTTGCTAATCCACTTCTTGTGCAAGAACAAGACAAGAACAAGAAATACCTGCAAGACTAAAAATAACGGAAAATAGTAAAATTTCAAATTGAAATATCTCCTTTAATATCATTCTAAAAAATGCGGGAAAAAAACCAAGAATAGTTTTTGATGTGCTTAATTCAATAAAAAAATAAAAAAAAATCGACCCTATTCCAACGAACCTGTCAGATTTTTACAGCAAATGCCAAGAGCTCAACAAGAACCAGAAGCACTCGAGTTGAAAGCAGTTGTTGGTACCACTTATAAATCAGATGATACTCAGCAATACCAAAACCCTCTGATGCTAAGAGGGAGACGATCAATTTCCAAAGGCAAATGAAATTAATCAATCAAATTAACCTATTGATTGATTTTAACGGGGGAGGAATATGTTATGTTACGCCACTGCTTTGCTGCTACTGTCGCGCCACTGACCTGCAACGAAGCTACCACGCTTATTCAGCATTCCGCTTACTCAGCATAGTTATTAAGTTTCCATATTATACATATTATATTTTCTAGCTTTTTCCTCAGAGATCATTTTTGAATCCACCTCCGAACTAGATTGTCAATCGGGACCTTTTTAACTTTAACTTCAATGTCAATCGAAACTTAATTATTGTTAATCGGGGTTTAGTACTAATAGGTTACGTTTTGATGTGTAATTGTTTAATAAACATTACAACGGAATAAATTGATGCCAAGGGACTTGTTTCTTCTCCCTAAATAAAAGAACCTTACAATATACGTTAATGACAAAAATATGTAGGTATGAAGAAAAAACACTGAGACGATATCAATCGATATTTCTCTAAGTAGGAACAATGTCTGCTCTAAAAAATAAGACACCAAAGGTAATAAATAATCTTTATTTTAATTCATCTTAACAATTAACAAAAACTTATTGAAAAGAATCTGAAATCGAACACAATATTCTCCTCCTTTATCATTATCGAAAGATTATTAGACTGCATTACAACTACGGTTTCCAATATAAAAACACAAAAAGAAAAATTGCAAAAGTCGAAAGTATATCGTACACAATTTTTTTTCAGGTTTCCTTACTTTTTATTTTATCAATATTTCAGTTTTTGAGTTTATATTTAAATACAAATATTTTTTGATACCCTTTCTTCACTGGTATGCATTACAAAGTTAATAGTCTGTTTGCAAAAGAAGGGACAAGGATGGACTCAAGAATTTTCTATATTGGATTTTCGATTTTCCCAGCAATAAAATTTTGGAATAATTAATGTAGAAAATCCATTGTGTTATCCCATAGCGTCATTTCTTTCGTCTTGTCCAAAAAAAAACTAACTACTTAACAGGAAATCAATAAAAATGTACACATATTAAGTAGAACAGTTATTAAAAGTTGAAAAAATTGCCACGCATTTATTTTTCACTATCTTTTTTTAAGGGAAGATTTTCGTTTCCTATTTTCTGCCATTTCATGTTTAATTGATTCACCTGTAGGTATTGCATCGATCGAAACGTTGTATTTTTAGGGCAGGTCTTTCGCCGATTTTTGTGATGAAATTTGATATCCATGATTTTATTAGACAAACCACATGCATAGCCTGTGGTTATCGAATGTCACAACAAATTGGGAAAAATGCCTTAATGTGTTATTTGGGATTCAATAAACGAATGATCGATGCAATAATATTTTATGTACTCATCAGCATGCTAAAAACTGAGTTTTGTACTTGTTTATACAATTTTTTAATTCGATTTAACGTCCTTTATTTAAATTACAATTATTCGTTTGTTTTATATAAAAATTCAAATTAGGAAACTTTATTTTTATAAAATTCGAATGCCTTTTCCTTGATAAAAAAACAATATTAATATTATAAACGGGTTATAATACTAGACATAACATTAAATTTTTACTAATTACAGAGTAGATACCCAATTCAATTTGAATTCACTACAAAACAAAATGATTTTTTTTTAGTAATTTTAGGTGGATTTTTAATAATACAATCTGTCCCACTTGTTTATGATAACGGACAAATATAGTCTAATCCTCGTGAATTTAATTAGGTAAGTATATCTAATAAAAACAAATTATCTTTCAAATGTTAGCCTCATTTAAAGCTATAGGGAAGCCAAAAAAAATGATACAAAGCTGTAAATATTTCTTCAATAGAATATTGGAAAAAAACTACTCAATATACAGTTCTGGGAGAGAAAACTGCAAAATTTCTACAAAGTTTCTATCAATAAGCAAATTACTTAATAAAAACAATTTGACACGAATTAGCCTGAAATTGCATTTTTTGAATACCCTTGTTTAACCGAGATATGCCTATTGTACTTTTGAAAGTACAATAGGCAATTCAACTATTATGTGGAAGAATAGTCTTGCTTTCGTCTCTCATTTGCTAGATGAATTTTTATTTTCCGTATAGATGTTAACTAACAAGAAGAACATCGATTCTCGTAAAAGGACAATAGGAATATGCATATTTTAAAAAAATCAACAAATAATTTTTTATAATGGGCTCTTTCACTAAAATTTAAATACGGAATTTAAGTATAAAATCCCAAAGGAGGGACTATTTTAGGCATATACAGAGTGTATATTTTAAGTGATACCACTATTGCTATATCCGAAATGGTAAAAGCTACAAGGTCGGTTAAATTAGAAAAAAGTTGCTTTTTTTGATGTCCATTCAAGACTTGTTTACAGTGTTGCCAAATTCCTTTAAGTTTATGAAATACAGGGTGATTTATGAAAAACGCCTAAAATTATTTCATCAATTATTTCGGAAACTATTGATATTCGAGATACAATTTAAATTTGAAAATTTTATAATTTTTTTCGCTCTACAAAATGGTATCTTCAAATTTTAAATCCGACGTTTCGTCATCGAGCTACCATCATCAACTTTATTTTTTTAAATACGGATCTGGATTTTTTATATCATTTTTAGAAAGGGAATGAAAGGCGCATCCTAAAAATGACATTAAAAATTCAGGTCCGTATTTAAAAAAATAAAGTTGATGATGGTAGCTCGATGACGAAACGTCGGATTCAAAATATGAAGATACCATGTTGTAGAGCGAAAAAAATTATAAAACTTTCAAATTTAAATTGTGTTTCAAAAATCAATAGTTTTCGAAATAATTGATGAAATATTTTTGGGCGTTTCTTAGAAATCACCCTGTATTTCATAAACTAAAAGGAATTTGGCAACACTATAAACGAGTCTTAAATGTGCATCAAAAAAGAAAACTTTTTTCTAATTTAACCCACCCTGTAGCTCTTACCGTTTCGGATATAGCAATAGTGGTATCACTTAAAATATACACCCTGTATACCAAAAAAAAAAAAGTTCTACAAGGTTGAATAAGTTTTTTACAGGCACTTGAAACTAGCGAAATTCAAAATGATTTAAAACGCGCGGATTCATGACGTCACATGAATATTTTTCATTTGGTTCGTTGTTGCAAGGAGCTGACCGGCTCGGCTGTGTTGCGTTCTGTATAAGTACGTAAAGATTCGAATGCGCTTTTGTCGGTTGTGACTAAATGTAGTGCAACGTAAAAAAAATAAATAAAACTAAACATAAAAAATTGTATTAAATTGTGTTTAAGCATAATTTCAAAAAAAAAATGTTATAAAATCTTGAATCCATAACTAATTAATTTAACTACTTTTCATGATATTTTGCCAACAATTCAGAATTAAATCTATTACAAATTTTCAATGTTGACAATTAGTGGCAACACGGTCAAATTGCGAGCTGTGACGTCATATAAGTAAATTCTGGGTTTTTATTTGGAGGTATTTCTTTTTTTTCTGTTTTCTCAAGAAGGACTATGAATTTTTCAAAAGTAAAAATACAGAAAATTCTGCTTTTAGGTGCTTTATCCAAATATGCCAATTTCAAAAATTAGTGAAAGAGCCCATTGGGAATAATCTATTTCGAAAGTGCTAAATCTTGGGAAAAACCTGACAATGGATTCTTATTTAGAATCTTTTAAAACCTATGTATCCAATTCTGATTGTTCTAAAATACAGGGTCAGCGGTAAAGGCAGGTTTTAAGCCATTTCAAATAGAAATCCCTCATCAGATTTTTTCACTGTTTTTTTTTAATCCCAAATAGTTCTTCTTTGGTAATTTGTTCAATGTCTAGTTTTGTTAGTGAGCAAAATAATTTATTGACAATGCAACTTATTGGATGTCGAAAAAGTAGACTTGTATGCAAATGAACAAAGCTGTGTGATTTCAAAAAAAAAAAACTATTGATGTGTCAGCCGAATAATATCCTTCTCGGCCATCTGCGTCTTCCTGGAATCAGGTGTTTTGGGAAAAAAGTGACATTTATCATGAACTTGTTTCAGGAGCAATAGCAAGAATTATTTTTGAATTTGTGAAGTCACACTTTCACAAAATTTTTGTGTAAATATTTGCCAAGATTCGACGACTGATACAATAAATTAAAAAAAAAAAACTCAGGTTTACAGTTCGGACTTCATTGTACAGTTCCATATTTTGGGAAATCTATGCAAACAGTGCATTTTGAATAAACCTGTTAGATTTGGCTGGTTTGGATTGTTACGACAAGTAATAATAATGCTAATGGGGTAGAATCATTTGAGTAATTTAAATTGAATGTTGAGAATCCTAACAAAGAATTTCATTCAGAGCCGTCGCTGGTGATACATTAGATGACGAAAAGTGCAAGCTTTAGTAAAAACGCATCTCAAAAAGTATTAAAGATGCTGACTTTACACAGAAAGCCCTTTAAAGTGTAAAACACATAGGTACCTCCAATTTTATTTTTATTTTTCATCCTTTAAAAGTTTGAAAAAACTACCTATGATTCTGCCTTTGATGAAACAAGAAGCAGGCTACAAACTAAAAACTCGTTCCATGCATGTTGAGGAAAGACACAGCTTCAAAGTTTCAGCCAAAATCATGTGCGATACTTTTTATGGAACGAGTGTATCAAGACTATGGGCGGGGTCGAACATTGCAGCCAAAATTAGCTTTTATAAAACAAGCAATCGCGAAAAAAATTGGCATTTCTGCCATTTAGTTTGATCTGACAGGGTAGAACAACTTGCAGTTGTACAATTTATAGAGATCGAAAGTAGATTACCTATCTGACATTTAAACGACGACGACGAACACCTCTGGCTCAAAAATCATATGGATCATCTACAAGATGCTGATTGTGCATTGCGCCCTAAAAATGTTAACCATTACGTTTATTAAGATGTGAAGATTGCATATCGGTTGCTTCGCACAATATCAAAACAATTCGTTAAAAAAGCTTCAATTTACGCATGTTCCCCTATTGTTCATTCAAAAGAACACAAAAGATAAAGCAGCTCCCGATGTATTTTTCAAAGCCTATCATCCTGTTCCTTTATTCAATAAATCTTGATAAAATAAATGTTAAAAACAAATTAAAGTAGATATCTGGGTTAAGGCTCAAAAATTAATCGACAAGTAATAACCTTTATAACGGAGTATATTTACGATTTTTCCCATGAAGGTATAAATAATTCAGGATTAGTTTCAATAATCCGACAAACAACGTATCAAGATAAATTCTCTTAACAGTGAGTTAAAGTCGATGTTAAAGTAATTTTGCTTAAAAAAGTTGATTTATTGACTCTAGCCGAATTAATAATTATAGGCTTATTTATATTTTTACATTGAGATAAAAAAAATTAATTTGCAGGTTTTCTTTATGAATTTCGTAACCAGAAAAGGCATGACACACGTTTTGCTTTCCCTACAGTTTTAATTGAGCTAATTAATTCCTACTAAAAAACAAAGCGAGATTGCGTTAAAATTTGGACGAACCAGTGTTGCCAGATTTATTTAAGAATTTTCGCATAATAAAATAAAAGTTAGTAGTTAAAAAACATTTGAACTTAGTCTTGATGGCTATTTTTACTAGGAAATCTTTTATTGGTCCATGAAATTAAAAAAAAATATATATTATAACATAAAATTAAGTAACTATTAGGTATAGTATAATTTTACCCTGTGGAGTTTTTTGAATGCAGATAAAAAAAAATTAAATCTGGCAACATTGTATGATAAGATGCAGCCCTATCGGCCCACCTACTTATCATCATCGGCCGCAAAACTAGGGCAGTGTGCCTCGGCCGACCGCCCGGGTCTACGACCCCGGCCTACGCTACGAAGGGTTGGCCGGAATCCTGGCCCCGGACGACGTCCGAATTTGGGACCATCGGGGAGGTGAAGTTTTTGTTTTATAGGCGAACTTACCTTATTTTTAACATAACTAATCGCCTCCAAAAATGTATTTCTTGGCAGTGTAATTTAAAAAATGGGACTCAGAGGGGGCGATTGGCCTAATAATGAGAAACCACTGACAAAAAAAAGGTTTCTTGGAAAAAGCCAAATCGCCACCACCCAAAAACTCCCAGGAATTTGTTGAATAGATTATCTAATATAGACCTACACGATCGTTTTCCATTATCATGAAAAATTAACTAGATGGGCGGTTTTAGCGGAAATGTTTAGGAGCCAATATTTTGATTAAAAAAAAAAATCAAAATGTCAAATTCTACCTCACATATCCTGTTTCACCAAGTGAGTTACTGTGACTTTGTATCCGATTGTGAAATGAAAATAATGCACAATCTACTGAAAATTGAAACATACTACAACGTCAAAACACATATAGCAGTCTTTGCTTAGAATCAAGTTGGTAGCAACCTTGGGTCGGATAAAAAAGTGACGCTTAAACATTTCCACCAAAAAAACTCCAGACGCTCTGCGGTATACCTCATCAAAATATTCGGGTACACCAATCAAAATTTAGAGGGTAAATTGGCACAATATTACGTTATTATTTCTTATAACAGATAATTATTCGTATATAGTTATTATAACAGCCTTTTGAGTTTTTTTGTTCAACTGAATATCTTGAAATTGAATACAAATTACCTATACAAATCTGTTACTGAGTTTTGAAATCCTTTTTTTTTCAAAACAGAATAATTTAAAAGAAAATCTAAGTTATTTGTCTTCCCTCTCATTTATTGATGATTGCGAGCGAGTGGAAAGAAAATGAACTCAGAGTATCTAAAATTACTGTACTTTATTAATATTCCAATTAATCAATGCATTGTATAGTTATCGTTACCAATCAACTATTCAATTTCAAGATATTCAAAGATCTTTGGCACAAATCTAATACCATTATTCTGATTTTGTCCTTATTTTACCTGAGTTAAAACCACTCAAAATTTTGACAAATATACAACGTCTCTCAATTATTATTAATTACCAAAAAACATATAGAACAAATTAGGTTATTTAGCATTGAGCAATGTACAATCGGTTAACTCAATAATCAATTAATAAATATTTTGTTTTTTTAGTTACCTAAACAACTTTATAAATATTTTTTGTCCTATGAACTTTTTTCCTAAGTTTAAATTTTAGTCTTAAAAATATTGAACCTTAAGTCGACTATTCGCGATTTATTTGACACTTATTATAAAAAGTACAAAGCGATTTTTTTAGTTAAATTGTAGTTGAGTCTAAGCGCGGTACTCTGACGACGACGCGTTTTATTTTTAGTCACTCGTAAAAGTGTCCCCGTTTTTTCGTCTTCGAAATTGTTTATTTAGGTAAGGTGGAACAATTATTTTATTTAAAGCCCAAAACCTTTATCACAAGTCACGGAGTTGTAGCATTTATTCTAAGACGTCTAATACAAAATTATTTTAAAATTATCAAATATGAAATTATTTTTTTATTATTATTGAATTCACGAAGAGGTAAAATTATTATCTAAATCGATTTTATTACTTTCTGGTCCTAGAACCCCTTTTCACTTCAAAGAAAAATATTTCACGGCTTTTCAAAACATAAACATTAACTCTTATACCAAATGCTACATTTTGATTTCGCTTCATATGTAAAGAGCTGATCATTATAGTACTTTTGCAACTTCCACAGTAGGTACTTCTTAATATATTTCCTAAATATTACATAGCCCAAGACGGTATGACACCCGTGTTTTATTGAAAAAGGATAAATAGAAATTTATTATTTTGAATTACCCGTTAATAATTACTACAATTTAATCAGCTCTGTACATTTCTCTCTCCGATTTATTCACTCACGAACCAATCACACACGATTTTCCCACCTTTCGGTTAAGTTCGATATGTGCGCACCGCGCGCTCGATTGTGCGCAAATGTGGCAGTGGCGTTCACAGTCGATCCTCCTCATCTTCCTCCTCTTCGGCCTCCTCAAGCATGCCTTCGTTCTCTTCACGATAACCTGGGTGCTCCGAGATCGCGTAGTAGTTGCCGTTGTAGATGACTCCTAACTCTCGCATATCGGCGCCTCGGATGGTAGCCTGAAATAGTGGTATTATTACATTGCATAATTTATTGCAACTTTCATGAAACTAGGAATAAATTCAGAACTTCCTTATTCGTCCGCAGCAAAATGAAGCACTTGTTTATAGACTTTAAGCAAGAATTTTATCTTGAGACAATGACAGATCGAACAAAATTATGATACATTGGAGACTATTAATGTGGTAGTCAGATGACTTATAGAAACACGCGGGGCCGAAATGGATGCAGATTGCCCAAGCTAAAGAAGCATAGAGAAATAAATGGGACGCCTAGGTTCAAAGGAACCTTTGGGTCTGATTAGATAGAGATAGAAATTCAAGAATTAGCTACTTGCAGATCAAGAGCAAACTCTTCAATATATAAGAAAGGGAAGAAATTTGGTTTGGAAGAAATAGAGTAGTTTTTTGAACAGTCCTCATATGAAATTTCGACAATAGGAAGTTCAAGAGAATTACTGATGCTTACTGGAAAACCGAAGTAATTATTGCTAGAGTGCGGACAGACATTCTAAATGACAACGGCGATAGATTGATCGAAATATGTGACCAAAGTATTCTCCGAATCTTGAATGGTATCTTTCAATATCGTGAAATACATAAGTATACAGGGTAGTCCAACAAGCGCGCCGCGGTCAATAATAGCCAAACCGTTGAACTTATGGAAAATTTTTCTGTATAAAAGTTTTAGCATTTCATCTCTGCTATAACCCAAAATTATTTTCAAGTATACAGGGAGTCTCAAAAAAGAGTAGTCACAAATTATATGTTTTTTTTTAAATGAAATACCGTATGTTTTTATGTGGCAAATAAAGCCTCTATGTGCTCTGTATTCAACTTTAAAATCGTGTTTGGGTTGTGTGCAGCGTTGCCAAGTTATGATTTTTTCGAAGAAAAAAAAAGGCCAAAACTTACATTTTTAAAATTGTCATATCTCCGCCACTCACTGTATATTAATTTCCCTTAAAAATTCACATGTAATCTAATGTTAGCCTAGTTACTCCTACATTATCTTCATTTTTTGATTTAAGTATACAGGGTGTCCAAAATATTTGTCCAAACAGGTCAATTTTAAAGTCCATTTTAATTGAGTTTTTCAAACACAATATATTATTATTTTTCTATCGAAAAGCTGAAAATATCCTCTTTCAGAAAATATCATATTTGCAGTATCTATCTCATCAATATTTTGAGATACTAAGATTTTCCCTTAACTTAACTAACAAGAAACGGTAAAAAGTAAAGTAATTTGGTAGTTTTACCTCGAAAGTTTTTCGAGAGTTTTGAACATTTTTAGACGTGTTCTTTCCGAATTTCTACTTTGCCACCTCGTATTTTTGCCGCTCGCGTCGCCATATCGAAAAATTTCGCCAAAAAACAGGTTTTTCACAATATCTCCTTTCCTTGTCATTAACATGAAAATATAGTTATGTAATATCTAAATTAATCTACAGAAAAATTTCCCATAATTAACCTTTCTATTCTGCAAAATGAATAGTTTCAGCGTACGAGTGCGACAAACCAACATACAGCTACACCAACACGTGTTTGTCGTATATTCTCGTATATTTCACCACGTATTAAAGAACCGGCTTACTAGGGTGTGTTCTTCCTTCGCAGGTATAAAGGAAAACAATGCCATGGCATGGACCCCCTCATCTCTCCCTTCTACGAGCCATCTGCTGGCGGAGTTCAAGTATTTTGTTCGAATTATCAGTACCTACCTACATGTTTATTGTTCTAGTGTCGTTCGTATTTTTATAGTCATAATTTCTAAAGAAGTAAACTGTTTTATATGTGAAGATCCATTGCAAGGAAATGAAGTGATGGATTATCTTATCTTTTCGTTAGTCAAGTGCTCAAAAAAAAGGACAACAAAGGTAAACTCTTGAACAGACTAAATATTGATAGTGGTACAAAATGTATGTCGAAAACGATATCATAACGAGAAATCAATTGCTGCATCTTTACATATAGGAAGCGATGGTGCCATTTCTCATCCCCAACTGCGATCCACGTACTCAACATTCTCATTCAGAGATCAGTGTTTTTTTTGTTCGCTGCTGAGTTATCAGCAGTTACTGACGGAAGCCTAGTACTACTACAACAAATCGACAACGAAGCTGTTAATCCCATCGAGGATGATGTGGAAGAAACTATCTGTACCGATTCGATCAGTTCTGAAGACGATATTGATAAACCCGCAACACTTAGTCCATGAAGAATAGCGAAGTGATGTAGAATGCGCTAAATATTGTAATACTCCATTGCATGTGGATCAGGCCTACTGGGGATACCACGATAAAAAAAACTGCAAACCTCATGGTGGTGTGGAATTGAGTTTTTTGGCCAAAATGCGTGTTGAGTCGACTTTGCAGCACGCGTACGCTAAAACTAAGTATTCATTTTTACTTTCCTCGGTAAAGGGAAGTATTTGTATTCACGTAAAAAATCGATCTCGAGACTTTTTCACATTTATACGTTTTCAGGTCCCTAGACTACGAAAATCATGTTTTCTCAATTCCGTCGGTCTGCCGGCGCTCTACAGACCGACAGACAGACATGTCGGTCTGTTGGCGCTCCAGCTCAATAACGGCTCAACCTAGAACAACGAGTTTTGAACCCCTACCGGCGGCGCTAATGTAAGAGTTTTTGTTCGCAGATATACAGGGTGTTCCGAAAACCATGCGACACTAACAAGAACGGTTAATAATACGAAGTTGGATATATTAGCAAGAAGGTACTCTTCTTGGAATTCACTAAAGCTACGTTATCGTTTTTGTCGGTTTTTTTATTCCTTTTCAAGATATAGGGCCCTTTGTGTTGAAACATATTTGGTCGTATATTTACAAAACTACTTATTTCAGAAGAATCGTTCAAATTTGGACGTTTCCCTATGTTCATCGGCTCTACAAGATTGGGACCTGAAAGTTTGAATCCGACGTTTCGCTTTCGGTGTGTCATCATCAACTTTCTATTTTTAAATACTGAGCTAGGATCTTTATATTATTTTTCAATAAAAAAAAAAACATTTAAATGATATTTATTCAAAAAAGGGTGGTTTGCCGAGGAAAGTCATGGGTAAAGGCCTTTACCAATTTTTAAAGCTATTTTCATAATAATGAGAAGGAAAGGAGATATTGTGAAAAAACAGTTTTTTGGCGGAACTTTTCAATATGGCGACGCTAGCGGCAAAAATACGAGGTGGCAAAGTAGAAATTCGGAAAGAACACGTCTAAACCTATAAAATTTTCAAAACTCCCGAAAAACTTTCCAAGTAAAACTACCAAATTACTTTACTTTTTACCTTTTTTTGTGTAAAGTTAAGGGAAAATCTTATTATCTCAAAATATTAATGAGATAAGATACGGCAAATATGATATTTTATGAAAGAGGATATTTTCAGCTTTTCGATAGAAAAATAATATACAGAGTGCCGTATTTAAAAAATTCAAATAAAATGAACTTTAAAATTGACGTGTTTAGACAAATATTTTGGACACCCTGTATACTTAAATCGAAAAATGGAGATAATGTAGGAGCAACTCGGCCAACATAAGATTATATGTAAATTTTTGCGGGAAATTAATCTACAGTGGCGGAGATATGACAATTTTGAAAAAGTATGTTTTGGACTATTTTTTTCTTCGAAAAATCATAACTTGGCAACGCTGTATTCAACCCAAATACGATTTTAAAGTTGAAGACAGAGCATATACAGGCTTCATTTGCCACATAAAAACGTACGGTAAACCATTAAAAAAAAAAATTGTGATTACTCTTTTTTGAGACACCCTGTATACTTGAAAATAATTTTGAGTTATAGCAGAGATGAAATGCTAAAACTTTTATACAGAACATTTTTCCATAAATTCAACGGTTTGTCTACTATTGACCGAGGCGCGCTTGTTGGACTACCCTGTATACAGGGTGGTCCATTTTACTTGAGACAGTCTAATATCTCGAAATCGGTGCGTTTTAGAAAAAAAAATCAAACAAAAGTTACATGGTATCATGGGGGAAACAAAATGGCGGCACTGATTTTTGACTTTGACAAAGTTTTCAAGGTTATTTCAAGATCAACTCTTTTTTCAATGGAAACGTATTTTTTTTATTGCAGAATCTTATCCCACGGAAAAAAACAAGTAACTTTTACTTGAAGAATTTTTCGATCCGGTTTCAATTTAAGCTGATAAAAAAGAACGAATCAATTTTTTTTTATTTTCCTCCTAACAAAATCTAAAAGTAGCGAAAGGTTACCAATGTTACCATAGTGAAAAAATACCTCGAAAACTATAACAATTGTTCAAAGTGATTTCCGCCAACTTCAACACACTTATCAATTCGCTGTAAAAAGCTTTCATGGCACCGAAGAACAGTTTCTCTACTGACAGCTCTACAAGCATGTCTTATGCGTTCTATCATATTTTCCGGTGTTGTGGGAACCTCTTGATAAACTGTCTGTTAAATATTGCCCCATAAAAAGAAATCGAAAGGCCTTAAATCAGGTGACCTAGCAGGCCACGCAACGAGATCGCCTCTTTCGATCCACCGATCAGGGAACTTACGATATAACACTTTACGAGAAATTCTGGCATAATGAGCAGGGCCGCCATCATGTTGAAACCACATGTTTGCCGTTTCTTGAAGTGTTAGATTTGCGAGTAGAACTGGTAAATGATCATTCAAAAATCTCCTATATTTTGGTCCATCCAGTACTCCTTCAATAAAATACGGGCTAATTAACTTGTCTCCAATAATTCCGCACCATACATTCACCGACCAAGGGCGCTGATGTTCTACTTCTCTCAACCACCGTGGATTTTCAACACTCCAATAATGCATATTATGGCGATTTACCTGCCCATGATTTGTGAAACCGAATTCGTCCGAAAACAACACATTACGGAAAAAAATGTCTATCTAATTCGATTCTTTCTCGTGCCCACTGACAAAATGACACTTTATTTACAAAATCATCACCATGAAGTTCCTGATGT